TAGAGGACCGTGGAAGTGATACAATTTGACTTCTGAGGCTAGGTCTGTACAGCAATGCAGTTTCTGCCTTGCTCACAAGAACACGTGCACTTGGAACCCTGAGCTGCCAAGAAGTCTGACTACCTTAAGGCTTCCATGATATGAAGAAAACAAGTCACGTGGAAAAGTCATGCATACAGGTGCTCAGATCTGCAGTCCTAGTCTTTTAGTCATCCCCACATGACTTACATGTCATCAGACATGGTAAGCCTTCAGATGACACCAGGCCCCAACTGTTGAGTTTCTCGTGGCCTGCAAGTCTTCCTAACTGTGGCCCCAGACATTATGTAGCAGAGATAAGTCATCCCCAATATGCCCTGTCCAAACTCCCAACCTGTAGAACCCCTGAGGATCAGAACATAGTTGTTTCTATGCTTGTGAGTTGTAGAGTGAATTGCTAGGCAGAAACAGTAAGTAATATAACTCTTGACTTAGTGTATACAGCTGTAGCTTATGCTGATACATCTTTTTGGTATTCTCTAAAGCAATGCTTCAATTTTCTAAGAAATTTCCATTCATTCACTTCTTAAATCTCATCTCCTATATAATCTCCTATATAATACCAACAGTTTTATTAATTAAAATTAAAAACAAAAAATAATGGCTTTCTGTTGATTTGGATCTTCCAAGGCTGCCCCTTCACGAATTCTATATTCTTATAAGTGGTTTTTAATTAGGAACTAAACTGTGGTCTTTGTTCAATATTTGTAGCACAGCTTCTCTTTATTTAGGTGATAACCTATCATTCTCTACTAACCTTTAGTTTGAATTCAAGTATTGCACTGTATCCAGTTTTTTGACATGTAATATTGACTGTTCCACCAAGCTCCAGTGTCATTGTGCCATAAAGAATTCCTAAAGAAAAAAAAATTTGGACAAGAGCTTGAAGAGAGACATTGGCTAATAACAAGTAGAACTTTATAATCTAATCTCCTTGTAGGAGAAACTAATAATTCAAGAGGATTCTGTGTCACCCAGTAACAATCTGTAACATACACATAAAGTTGGTTCTGTAGGATTTAAATGGGTAACAGTTGATACACATTATTTGCAGATTCCATATTTGTAAATTTATATTCTCACTAAAATGTATTAAGTAATCCCCAAATCAATACCTACAGCATTTTTGCAGTCATTCATGGACATGCACAGAGTGGTGAAATATTTGAGTTGTTCAATATGCACACTGCCAGCTGAAATCAAACAAGGTGAGACTCTGCAGTAAACAAATGTCTTTTTTGCAGTGTATTTAGTGTCACATTTTTCACATATTTGTGCTTTTTGTTGGTGATTTTACTATTTACAGTGCCCCCTAAATGTAGTGCTAAAGTGCTGTCTGGTGTTCCTAAGCACAGAAGGCTGTGATATACCTTACGGAGAAAATACATGTGTTAAAGTTTAGTTCAGGCATGAGTTAACAGTGCTGTTGGCTATCAGCTCAATGTTTCTTGTGTTGTTTTTTTTTCCTTAAATTGAAGTCTATTCGGTTTAAAATGTGTCAATTTCTGGTGTACAGCATAATGTTTCAAGCATACATTTACATATATATTCCTTTTCGTATTCTTTTTCATTAGTGGTTACTACAAGATACTGAATATAGGTGCCTGTGCTATACAGTATAAACTTGTTTATCTATTTTATATATACTAGTTAGTATCTGCAAATCTTGAACTCCCAATTTATACCTTCCCACCCCCTTTACCCTCTGGTAACCGTAAGTTTGTTTTCTGTGTCTGTGACTCTGTTTCTGTTTTGTAAATAAATTTATTTGTCTTTTTTTTTTTAAGATTCCACATATTAAATGATATCATATGGTATTTTTCTTTTCAAGAGGGGAACAGACTGTGCAATGTTTCTCATACTTATTTGGCTATAGAGTTCTTATTTTATAAAACAATTTGAGACTGGTGATTTGGGGAACATATTTTAGAAAATACACAAAGGTAGAAAATAATCATTTCCTGTGCTTATTCACAAGGGGTTATATAGCCCTTCTTTTTTTCATGCAATACAAACATTGCTATAAAAAAATTATTCCCTGTTGCTATTTGGGTATGGCATTAGGTATCCATCTGTGTAAAATATCATTTTATTTATTCCAAATTATATAAAACCTAAAAATATATTTCTTATCAATTCATGATTTCAGATATTTTACTTCATGCCTATTTCAAGAACCACACATGAAGCTCTAAGAATTATCTAGCCTGAGACCACAAGTTGGCACTCTCATACTTAGTATCAGGTAGGTTCACGGTTCAGTGGATGGGAGTCAACAAGCCTAGAGTTTAGTCTCAGCAATCTTACTAACTAACTAGCTGGTTTGGCTTTAGATCTTAACTCTCCTAGTTTTTCATCTGTGAAATGAGGCCATATTAAATAATTTCTATGTTTTCATGAATCAGTTCCTAAAATAGAGGATAATTACCCTAAAAAATTATTTGTAAGAAATAGATTGGAAAGGAGGGTACAGATAATGGCCAAGCTGAGTGTTTAAGCTGATGCCCTATAGCATTGCAGTGCAGATGGCAGAGCTGCATGACTGTAGGCAAATTAACCTCTTTGTGCCTCATTTTCCTTGTCCATAAAACAGGAATAATATTGCCTACTTTATAGGGCTGCCAGAATGATTAAATGAGTTTACAAATGTAAAGTGCACAGAATAGTTGGGTGCCTAGCTTGTTGTAAATGATAGTTATTATTTAATATTGTTATCTGCATTATACTGAATAGTGGTGGAAAAGTATAATACATTAATTTTTAAGAAACTGAAAAATAAGGATTAGGAAAAATTTAAAGAACTTGGTACACTGGAAAACAATAAATTAAAATTTTAAAAAGAGGTTGTGGTACAAGAAGATGAGTATCACTTTTAAGGATTCTGAAATAATGGGCAGTTTTATCCAATTTTAAAACTTGCAGACAAGGCAAATGAAATTCCATTATTATAAATCAGCCTCTTCCAACTAAAGTGTGTGTCACAAAAAGTCCATTGTGGGTGAATTAATTCACCATAGAAATAATGAGCGGATGATAACAGTAATCTTAAGTATCTGTAAACCAAGGACACTTTCAAAGGTCTGACTGCATCAATCTCAAAACATAACAAATTACAACCATATACATTTGCTTTAAAGGAAGGCTTAAGGATAGAAAACAAACTTATGGTTACCAGGGGGGAAAAGGAGTGGGAAGGGATAAATTGGGAGTTCGAGATTTGCAGATACTAACTAACATATATAAAATAGAGAAACAACAAGTTTCTACAATATAGCACAGTGAACTACATTCAATATCTTATAGTAACCTATAATGAAAAAGAATATGAAAATGAATATATGTATGTACATGTATGACTGAAACATTATGCTGTACACCAGAAATTGACACAACATTGTAAACTGACTATACCTCAATTTAAAAAAATAAATTAAAAAAAAAAAAAGTTTAAGAAAAACCAAACTCAAGTATGGAAAATATTTACCTTTGCAATGAGCATATGGCATTGTCATTACATAATCTTCACCTCTGTTCAAGAAAGTTAACCGTGCTTCTCCTTCTAATATTGCAGATAATGAGTTTCCTGAAATAAATAGTTTATTAAATTTCACAAAAGTAATTCAACCAATTCAAAACAATATATTTAAGACACCTACCAGATACCTACAGTGGACTGTCTTAAAAAGTCTCAATGTATCCAAATATATATTTATCTTACGTCCAAAACAGGTTTGATCCATATTCCTATTCTTACAAAATGAGTACTTTATAAGGTACTTATTATGTGTTTATTGTGTTACTTTACATGAAGCTCTTAAGAAAAATCTTAAACTGATTATCCCTGGACTATGGATTCTAAATATATTTGTATTCTTTCTCTGTCTATTCAAGGACTAAATAAAAAGATCAACCCCTCAGGTACACTGAGATGGAACAAAAAACCTTAGTAGAGCTAAGCAATACATTATGCACTAAAATGGCTAGCTATAGTGGGCAATCATTATTCTGTCTTTTGATAAGTGGTATTTGTGGCGAATTTATACATATGTGATGAATACTTACATAAAATGAGTTATACCTCTATTTATGAATGGGCAAAGAAAAAAAAAAGGTCATTATCCAACTAAAGATGATACTTAAAATGACATATAAAGTCCCTACTGAAAACATCCCAAGACATTGTCTATATAAAAGCTCACCAGAAAACACTATCTCCCAAAAAAGGGTACAGATTAAGACAAGGGTAAACTCACCATAGAACTTGGACTTAGCCAGGATACTACCACTAAGGCAAAATCCATCTTTTCGGTTACTAACATAAAAGGCAGATATTGGTGGATGATGGGACACCTATTGAACGCAGGAAAAAACATAAAATACAATAATATAAGCATACTATTCTGCTATTACCAAAAGTTCAAGCCTTAAAAGTATATTCTAATAATGAATTAGAAGAAACATTTAGTAAGTAGTAAAATTAAATATTGATAATTGTATTAACCAATCTCCAAGATCCCAAGGAAACCCACCTCCTGGTATTCACACCATTAGGTAAGCTTACACTGTACCAAAGTTTGTGTGGAAGTAATAGTATGTCACTTCTGAAATTCGATTATAATGCAGCATCTACTTTGGTGTCTCTCTTTCTCTCTCTCTCTCAGATCATTAGCTCTGAGAAGCCAGCTTCCATGTTGTGAACAACTCTATGGAGAGACTTACGTGGTAAGGAACTGAATCTTCTTGTCAAAAGCCATGTGATGAACTTGGAAGCAGAATCCTCCAGACAAGGTAAGCCTTCAGAGGACTGCAAAGCTGGCTGACATCTTGACCTCAACCTCATGAGAGATCCTGAGCTAGAACCACCCAGCTAAATGGCTCATATTCCTGAACCTCACTGTATGAGATAATAAATAAATGTTTGTTGTCTTAAGCCATTAAGTTTTGAGTCTATTATACAGCAATGGGTAACTATTACAGTGGCTATTCTTCATTAGATGACTGAATAAACTGTATAGAAAACTAACAGAAGCTTTAACAAAAGTTATTTTAATAATCTAATATTTCGATATGTCTACATCTTATGTTTTTTGAAATGAGACAAAGCTAAAATAAACATTTCTCGAGCTTCTCAACGTAGTGAAGAATTACAGTCAACTAAAATGCAAGATAGTATAATCACTAATTATTAAAAAATTAACATAGATAAGTGGCTTCAATCTGAGAGGAATATCAAAATCTCTTAGAAAGAGGAAGGTTTTTCAAATAAGGTTGGTCTCCTCAAAAGAGGACGGTCTCCTCATCCTCCTTATACTCTGTATAAGGAAGATAAGTAGGTCAGGGTTTGTTTAGATGAAGAATAGCTGGGAAGAAATATTGGGATGGAAGAATTAAATTTAAAAATAGTGAGGCAAAAAAGTGCAGTATCAGGTTATTTAATTGTGAATGCACAGATATGACTAACTGGAGGGCTTAGAAAGGCATGTAATTTGAGATAAATTTAGAAAGATATGGGGACCCTGAATGTCAGGCAAATGGGTATAAATTTGATTCACGAACTGGGGAACCACTAAAGTACTTGGTCCTCCCCAAAAAAGTGAGGCAGAGAAAGAAAACTAAAGGTTTACTCTGATCACAGGATTCCATGACTGTAACAGTAATACTTAAGTAGAGTACGGTGTTTAGCAGTAGTCAATACTAACAGGTTAAATGCTTACCAAATGCTCACTAATGAGAAAGGTTAATCACCAGTGAATTCACTGAGTTAATATTTTCTATAAAAATATACCAATAACTTCCAAATCAGTTTTGTTTCTGTAAAATACATTTCTAATACCTGTTCAGCAATATAAAAAGTTTTGCTGTTTGTTCTGGGATGAAACCACAAACAACGGAACGTCTCACCAAGTATAGGATTATAAGGTTTCTTCAGTCCCTAGTAAAAAATATACAAGTTTCAGATTATAAATATGAATGATTCAAAGTACTAATTTAAACCAGTTAAGATGGGTTTAACTGTATCATCTGGGAACTATCTTTATACAATTTCACAGGAGTGAAATAAAATAAAATTAAATGACTTCAGTCATAATACAAGTCTAAATAATCAAGCATTTTACAATTTGCTAACTCAAAGAGGCCCTGCAGTGCAATTATTAGTAAATAATTTAAAGGTATCCTAAAAAATAAAGTGCATATAAGGCTATAGTAAAGGAAAACATAAACATTACCTTTGGCTTTTTATAGAATCCAGACAAATACCATTTCACTACTTTCTTCAAACGGAAATAAGGATTTTCTTCAAGAGCAGCCCTAAAAAACAAAATGATACATGCAAAAACTTTTACAGAATATATCACAAATTCTCCTTCATATTAATCAAATCAACAACTGAATATGAGATACGATTGGAAAGCACAAGTTATATTTAAAATAGATGGCAAAAATAACTAAGTAAATCAACTTGTAGGAATCATTTTCCATAATCTGGAGTTGTATCTGTAGGAGTCATTCCCAGATTGAATGCATCTACAATTTTGGTAGATGCTGCCAGATTCCTTTCAAAGGCCCTGTGCTAGTTTTTATCACCCAGCAGCCGTCTGTTGAGTGCCTGTGGCCCCACACAACCTTGGCAATAGTGTGCGTTGCCAGAAGTGCAACCTTTCAATTTGGGAAAATGACATATGTATAGGATTGTTACAACAGGGTTTATAATAGTAAAAGATTAGATAACTCAAGTGTCCAGCCATACCTGACTGGTTAAATAATATATGGCACATCCACCTCACAGAACATGATAAACGGATTTGGAGGGATCTTAAGGATTATGTGTGTGTGAAAAGTGCAAGGTAATAGAAGAATTTGAGAAAAATGGGCATCTCTCAAGATCTTATTGTGACTCATAGGAACCTGCCTCATATTCTGAGAGAAATAAATTTCTAGACAGATAAAAGAAAGTGGAACAGGAGTATAAAAGCATTTGGATTTTTGGTCAATGTGATGGATGAAAAATAGATCTTATTAAGGCTTGAATTTGTACCTTTTTTTATTTTGAATGAAGTTTACATGTTTAAGGACTGTTTCTATTACTTCATTTTTGAACTGCTTGGTCAATTTCTCTACTCCTTTTTCCTATTAGGTTGTTGATAATTTTTATTTAATGTCTAAGAGCCCTTTTTATTTTAGGGAGATTAACACTTTCTGTATGGCCTAATTTGCAGAAATCTCCCATAGTTTATCAATTGTTCTTTACATCAGTTTATGTGGTTTTTTTTTGCAATGTTCATTAATGCAATTAATAGACTAATAATGCAACTAATAAACTGAATATAGATATTGATGCAGAATCTAAAAATCAGGTCACAGGGCCAGAACCTAGTACCTCAGAAAACCCAGCGTCTTGTATCTATCTCTAGTATTTTAGAAAACGCAGCTGCTGGAATGGGGTCAGCAGGTGAAACCTAAAAGGTATGGGTCTCCAAGAAACTGCTGAGAAAAGGTGGGTAGCTCCTCTTCCACCTCCTTTATGCCTGCCCTCTTCAGAATTACACCCAGGATCAGCTGGCAGGAAGAAAAACAAAGATAAGAGTGGGAATTTTTGCTACGAGCCAACAATTGGCAGGATGCTCCAGATAGGATAAACTGTGCATGCCTCATAGCACGCAGAGAGGACAAGCACAAGCAAGAGAACAAGCCCCTGGATGGGACCTGAATGAGGGCTTAGGTGGAGAGAACAAAGAAAGCCAACCACCTCTCCCCGTGTCTGGTCAGTGCACAGGGAGCCTGTGATGGCAGTGCTTTCAAGGCAGGGGCCGAATTCCTGTCTTCCTCGAGCTTTTAATCTCTCACTTTGACCTCATAAATGGAAACATTACAGCAAAGTATTAAATATGCTTCTTATCAAGGTCAGCTATAGAAGTGGTGAAAAAGAGAGAGTGTATCTTATTATTATTAGGGCCCAATTTTGGTAAGGTAAAACCGCAGAAATTAGTACTCTGACAAATCTCTAAACCATGAAGTATCTTTTATTTTAAGAAATGAGAATCTACTTACTCAGATAGGAAGTCTGCATGGTAGTAGTAATCTGAAAGTTTATCCAGGAAAGAACGAGGCTCCAAAATAAATGTCGGTAGAACCACCCTGGACAGGTCCATACCAGGACGGACCTGTTTCAGCAGTGTCCAGATAAGGCTTTTATTTTCTTCAGATACAGTTTCTGTTTGAGAAGCCTCACCTGCCTTTAGCAATTAACAAAAAATACTGAAATATTATATTTATTTCAGACACATAAATATGTAGATAAGACAGCTAATGTTGATAATATGAATTCTCTATAGGACTATTCAAGCATTCTTAAAATGTGCAAATAACCCATTAGGTAATTAGTCTATAGCTATAAAATTTAGATAAAAAGGGTAGTACCAAGAGACACTAAAGTGAGTGATATATATAAAGAATCCATTACAAAAACCATTATACTCTATTATACTATGTTTACTTCTATGCACTAGCAATAACAAGAAAGCTATAAATTCATATTTCCTTGCAGTTTACTTTGTACCTGGTAATGACATCAAGGGGTATCTTATTTCAAAAGCAAACCTGAAGAAGATGTAAACTTGAAATTTAATAGAATATATTGGTACATGTGTTTATGTGTTTAGCTGTTTATAAATCTTGATATACTTCATATGTATGCACCTTTTAAAATAAAACATACAAATACTATTTTCTTTAGGAAAAATAAGCAGTAAGCTGAACAAATATCTTCATTTTTATCTGTAAATTTTCAAGTATTAGAAAACCAAAACCCCTGGGAACTTCTACCTCTCCGAGTTCTTCATGGCTCTGTTCAGTGTAGGTAGTCTCCTTCAAAGGCTCCACAGGCTCAGGCTCGATGTACGAGTCGTCCTGCCTTTCCGATGTATCTGTGTCACTCTCCTCACTCTTCCCCATCACCTCATTGTCAGACTCATCATGCTCCTGATCATTTTCTTTATCAGATTTATCAGAATACATATCTTGGTCCTTAAAATGCTGCCGTTCAATTTCACTATCATTTAACCTTAAGGGAAAGAATTATTAGGAGGAAGAATGAAAGAGGTTAAGAATATTTAATTTATAAATAAGAATGATATGTCACATTCACTGAGAATTTACTATGTGCCTGGCACCGTTCTAAGTGTTTTATGTTGTTTAACTCATTTAATCACAAAATAACCATATGAGATAAGTAAAATTATTCTTCTCACTTCATAGATTAATAAATGGGGGCACAGAAGAATGAATTAAAAACCTGGGAAATATTGAAAGATGACACTCTGAGCTGTTTGCTTCTCTACCCTTTGAGTCTAAAATCTTCCAAAAGCAAAATTTTAGACTATTTCTTGCTACATTTTTACATACAAATATCATCACTTGAATCAACCTACTAACCTATCACTTGTAGTCTGAAGAAAAACTTCAAGTTAAGATCATCAGATTCTCAAGTGAACTCAGATGAATTATGACTTTCCACCTGAGGTCTCCAAAGTCACTCAAAGTAAGTCCAAAAATAAAATGAGAAAATGTATAAGGTAATTATATCAATTTAATACTTGACTGATAGATTCAATCTTGAAAAAAAAAACCAGGGAGAAATGGAAATTTCAACTTAAGGAAATGAACCTACATCCTGAAATTGGTAAGTTGTTGTATCCAACCTTATTCTTACTTACAGGATTAGAATTACTAATCTGTACACCCTACTGCCCCCCTCCAAAAAAAAAATCCCTCACTCCCAGAATTAATGAAAAATTTAAAGAAATTTCTTATTTAAGAAAGTACCTGTGTGTTTCCTTTGGTATAAATAAAATTTGTAAAGTACTTTGCAAATGAATACACGGTGCCATTATATATAACTGACATTTTAA